GATTTAAGCCTTAAGCCTTAAGAAATTGACTAATCACAGTCGCGCATTCTTTTCATACTTGACCGTGATTGGTCAATTTCTTAAGGCTTAGGGCTTAAATCATCTATTGTAGACTGGGACTTAGGCTGATGGCAGACAACTATCCGTAAGCGCTTAAGACTGACGTAGCCGTAAACTTAAGGTAAGGCAGAGAAAAACTTAAGCCGTAAGGAATACGTGTTCTACGGCTTATGTTTTTCTCTGCCTTACCTTAAGTTTACGGCTACGTCAGTCTTAAGCGCTTACGGATAGTTGTCTGCTATCAGCCTTACTCTGGTTGGTCAAATTTCAATCTAATCCCAATCTCAATCCGTAGTCTGATACAGGCTGTATACAGATTTTATGGTGTGAATCCAGCCTATGGTCTCTATTGCTCTCTCTTCTTACATACCATCTTCAAAATCTCTCACGAGGTGTGCGGTCTATATGTATGTGTGCCTATGGTTTCTCTTCCGTCTCTCTTATTTATATTTATAGTCGTAACTTAAAACGAGAAGAAAGGTATTAGGTACATACATACAACGAATTGGTAAAAGTTAACGTTTTTAACCTGAATGACATTATAATAACCAAGTACTCCAATCACTCCAAGCAGTACCGGTTAAGCATTGACTGATAACCACGTTGTTCACTGTATACGGTACGCATTTAAGATCGTTGGAGACGTTACATTTCGCGCTTGTTTAATCAGTTCACAATAGCCGGAGCATCAATGTACATACAGCCTTTAGGGAACGTCAAAATGAACTAGTTAAACGCCAGTTCTTCGAAAAGGAATGATATGTAACGAGAATTGTTTCCGACCGTATACAGAATATTGTCAAATAAAAGTTGCTTAGTTAAAGAAAATCGATTTAAAATAGTGGGAAATATTGATCTCACGCGTCTTGATTATGCGATTATAGTTGCTCTTTATGGTTTCCTAACTTTGACAATAAAATGCTGAATCAACAACATCCTCTATTGAACACCATCGACTCTTATATAGAGCCGCTTTTGAAGCGCGTCTTACAAACCAAGAGATTAGGTAAGTAACTCACTCATTGTTAATCTTCGTCTTATCTGCACTTTACAATAAAATTATCTCTTTGGTGGTGTCACATTTTCCTAAAGGCGTCTACTATGGTCCGATAAAATTGGACTCTGTGTCGTCGAGCTGCGACAGGAACAAAAATGACTGTTTCAAGCTGTCAATTCCGTACGCTGGGGAGCACCTCGTATGGAATATATTGTTTGATTCACAATGTCCAGAATTGGGTCCAGACTTCTTATTCAACGATCAGAACTTTTTAATGGACCCAGACATTGATATCATATCCACTCGGGTGCCTAGTCTTGTTAAGTGGAATGCTAATGATACGGACGCACTGCTCAATGTACTAAATGAATTATTATGGTGTTACAAGGAATACCAGGCAAGTGATAATTTATTACATAGCTTCTATTAATTACATAGATCCGTATTCTGAATTCTCTTTTGTCGATAAAAGTGGCCTGTAGCCAGTCGGAAGACTTATATTAGCCACTTTTGAAGATGCTTCTATTGATAAAAGAGAATTCAGAACACGAGTTGTAGTGTTATATCTTTTTAATAAATTTGATGTATAATGTACACAGAATTTTGATAATGTTTTATGATGTTCGATTAAACTATTACCTGGTACATTTCGTGTACTTCCAGATACAGTTGCTTGGAAAACAGGGAGATCGATTGCAGCTCGAGTACAGCACACTTGTTGGTGAAACAGAAATATGTAAAGAAGATATCGAAGTGATGATGTTACCATTAGGATCGAAGCCTATAGAAGCGAGATTTTTAATTCGCATATCTGTGGATTATTCTCGATTGCCTCCGCGTGTCAATAAGTCGCAGAACGACGAGGCGATGCTTCTCGTCACGTTTTACGGCCCGGATTGGAATCGTATTATGCCGCAACTTTATTTATCCAAGAATCTGGAGGACGTTTTCGGCGGTCCGGAATCCTTGCGTATTCCACCGTTGCCGCCCAACAAATATCTGATGGATTACGTTCCCGAAGTGATGAAATTCATGGAAGATAAGGTATACGATTTCTACACATTTTGGAAGATTGTCCGATTGACTGCAGATATTTACACGCGTACTTTCTGTTGCAGATAAACAGCGTGGCTCAATGTTTCGAGAACAGAAAGGAATTTATCTCGGTTCTAATCGTGCTACAACGCGGCAGCATACTAGAGTACGACGCTAATGAGTTTCATTGGATCATCATTATGTTGGAACACCGAGACTTCCATTTTATCATACACTTTAATCTTCCATCAACATTTCCTAGAGAGAAACCGCAAATTGCACTGCAATCGGTGTATCACATGACATCGCAGGGTACTTTATACAGAGAGGTATTGGACGATGTACCGTACAGTCCTAGATGGCCAATAATGCTAATGGTTGACAAATTGTTGACGTACATAATAGAAACTGCCGTTCAAAAGTTTCAGGCGAACTCCATCAGAAATAATCGTTTCCAATAATTTATTCTTAAAAAATATATTTTATTACAAAAGAATGTATATTTAATAGTTGCATATGAAATAAAAACTATTTAGTTGCAAACTAATTAACGCTGATGCGTTTTTAGTATGTTCTCGTCTTTCAAGTCGAAATATCTGTTGGCCCAGAATAGTTTTTAACAGAGTCAATATATAGACGGATTTGCGTACAACAAACTAATGAAACTACAAATGTTCTGTTCTTGAAAGTGTTTATGCCAAAGCTGTCTTGAAAAGAATAGATATTTGCCAAAAGAAAAAAACCAATAAGTCGACGAACAATTGCATATAATCCAAGAATCTTATTAGCGAAGTTAAGAAAACAATACAACAAACGTCGTCAACGTTTCTCGATCCGTTATGTTGAATTATTCATTCACGGCAAATTGTCAAAGCTATATTTTTATCAAGTTATTATCACGTATGACTCTGCATTCAAAGCGTCATTTAAATACTGTGTCGCACGCGTTCTCGAAGGAAATTTCTATTGGGGACACTGCGGGCGAGAACGCGCTGGCGCTGCGCACTGCTACGCGAGCGCGTTGCGCAGCGCAGCGGCCCTACGCCAACGTCGTGGGGCCAATCGTCTCGCGCTGGGCGCGCGTTACTTCCGGAAACGCGGAGCGCCGATTCGCCGGGACGCGTGGCGCGTCATTTCCCAGCGTCGGCGCGTCCGCGCGCAGGAACCGCCGGCTTTTCCCCCGCGCGCCACTGGCAGCACTGCGTGCGTGCGCAGCGCGGAGAGCGTGCGCAGAGCGAAACATTCTTAAAAGTATCCGGCCGCCGTCACCTGTCTCGCGACTCGAGGTAAGTGCTCTGCCGTCGCGGCGTTTTATTAAGGGAAAGTTTGCGGAATTGCGGCACGTACGCGGCCGCGGTGACGCGTCGCGTGAAATTGTCGCCGAACGCGGGAGTGTCACTTGTCAACACGCGCCGCGCGACTGGCAAATATGTTCGCGGCGGCGGCGGCGGCCGCCGCCGCCGCCACCGCTACGCCGCGGCCGCCTTCGCGTTGCTCGTCTCGCCGCTGTGATTTACGCGACGTGCCGCTGCCGCCGCGGCTCCGCGACGGTACTCGCGCATCGCCTCCCCCGTGTCACGCCGATCTCGCCGCGGATCGACTGTCTTCCGTGTTTTTCTCCCGCGGTCGTTACGACGCAGCTCTCCCGCTCGTGGTGACTGTCACGTCGGCTTTCCGCCGCGGATAACGTGACGCTCGTCGCGTCGCGCCGCGGCGTCCGGCGCGCGGCCCGCGCGCGGACGCCCGGTTTCGCGGAGCTGTCCGCGGTGTATTCGCACGCCGCGCTGTATACCGTGCCGCGCGTGAGAAGCGTCGCACGTATCATCTGTCAT